AGATGCAGTTGGGTTGTCAGGGCATCTGTCCAGAATTTTTGATAGTCTAATTCTTACATTAGAGAGTTTGTTATAATTGTATCTTGTAATTCACATATGTGTTATTCATATGCTTTGCATAAGTTAAGAAATGAAATTTTATGAAAATTTTGGTTCAAGAATAAGCATAAATTTTCAGCTGAGCTTTCTAAACCAGTGGTTCTCAACCTATGGGCCACGACCCCTTTGGGGGTTGAACGACCCTTTTACAGGAATAGCATCCTATCAGATATCCTGGGTTTGAGATATTTGCGTTACAGTTCATAAGTGTAGCAAACTTACAGTCATGAAGTAGCAATAGTTGGGACTTCCTAACTCCTCATTATTTTATGAATATGTGTGTTGTATTATGTGCACACGCGTGTCTATGTAAGGATCGAAGGACAACATCATTTTGTCTTCCTTGGTTGCTTTCTACTTTATTTTTGAGGCAGGGTCTCTTGCTGGACCTGGAGTTCATAGACTCAGCTAGATTGACAGACTAGTGATCCCCAAAGATCCTCCTGCCTCTGCGTCAGTGGTGCTGAGGCTATAGTTGTGCACTGCTGTGCTCAGACTTCCATCTGGATGCCAGAGATGCAACTGAAGTCTTCAGGCTTATGCATAAACTTTACTGACTGAACCTCACCCACCTCAGCTCCTTCACTGAAATACACAAACATTATAGTCTATAGTTCCTCTACAAAATAGCAGAACTAATTTCTCTTGTGAACGTTTTTTCAAGTGTATTGATTGCCTATAGTATGCCAGACACGGCCTTGGGATTTTACCAAGAAATTGTTGTAGAAAAGAAAATATTACATCCATAAAAGTTTCAGATGGTATGATAGGGACTCTACAGTCATCACTGGAGGGCATCTTAGAGAACATCCTGGCCCAGGATCTAGAGTTATCAGTGAGGAAGCAGGCTAGAGCATCCAGGAAGAAGAGCGTGACAAAACTTCCATCGTACAGATGATGTGATAAATAGAGACCTGTCAGACCTAGCTGCAAACTCTATGGTCCACTGTGCTGACCTTTCACAACTCTGGCACTTGGGAAATATTCCAACCTTTGAGACTGTTTAGAATCCTATTGCAAAATATGAGTGAACAGATATAACTCAGAGGGTGCACCTATGAGCCTGCTTCCATATTACCCTCCCCCATCCTGGACCACAGAGTAGGAACTTAACTTTACATTAAAACAGTCTTGTTTCTCTTATTGTCAGGATACTTTATCTATGCAACCCTATTCTAGTCTTTCTTGAAATCACTCAACATAGTAGTATAAATAATTTCCCTCTAGGTTTCAGGGACTTGACTGATTCTGTGATTGCCACATAAACTTTGAATATGCATGAAAAATTAAACCAACACAACAGCAGCCTTGCATGCTGAATTCTGAAAGGAAAATTACTATCAAGGATTTGCTGACAGAGATAGATGCATCTTGATCTCACTAAAAAAAAATACATAAACTGCCTGTAAACAGGGAAAGACTTTAGATTTTTACACACTGAAGGAAAGTAATGGGAGTCTTCTTGGTATAATAAAGGTTCTATGAGGAGATAAATAAACTTTATAAACCTCTTTTTAAAAGATTTGTGAATTTGGCCTCATAAATATTTCGAAGAACAAAAATATGTTTAGGTGACTCAAAACTTAAAGACTTGTAACTACTGAGGGAAAGGATCAGCACCTCCTTCACAAACAGACAGAAGTATGTTTCCATGAAAAACAAGAGTGGGCAGACCAATGGAAGAGTAGGCAAAATATACAGAATGGAATCTTTAAAATAGCCAAACAGAGCCTGAGGTGGGTTAGAGCCTGCACACTTGCCCACCTTGTGCATGAAGACCCTGGGTTAACACCTGCAGAGCACACATGCCCATCTTGTGCATGAAGACCCTGGGTTAGCACCTGCACAGCACACATGTCCAGCTTGCGCAAGATTCCCCTGGGTTAGCACCTGCACAGCACACATGCCCACCTTGTGCATGAAGCCCCTGGGTTAACACCTGCACAGCGCACATGCCCAGCTTGTGCAAGATTCCCCTGGTTTGCATCTCTGGTGCCATCTGCACACACAGACACAGCAAGTGCTGACGTGAGAAAACAGCCATTCAGATCAACGGTGTGCATGAAGTTGTTGTTGGCATTTTGGCAGCTAATCAATATTTTCACATTCCTCAGCTCTAACTATACTCAGAGAACCGTTCTTGAACATATCCAAGGGAAACTACTCAAGGACTCTGTGTTTAGGCTCATCCATCACTGCCTATGGGACTTTGATAGATTTTATTTTTGATAAATCATGGTTAGAGCTAGTTTTCTGTAACGTGGTTGCTCATTGCCTCTGGCACACTAGGTAAAGCCTCTCAAAAGCACCAATAACAGTTAACATAGAAATTGTTTTAAAATTCAGAGAATTCATTGTGATTAACTAATAAACATGTTTCTAAACAAAACACTGAATTAAATGAAAGCATTTTTTTCAAAAGAGAGAAATGGGGCTCAGGGAATATAGAGAAAAATGAAGAAGCATGTTATAAATGGCAGCTTCCAGATATGACGTCAGTGAGCTCAGAATGTATCACCCCCAAATATTGCACATTAGCATTTGAGAAAAATGCAGGCATGCACCCACTGGTGTAACTTCTACCACCATGTCAAATGTCTTAAAGATGGGAGCATCTCTCTGCAGCACCACAGGCTGGTGACTTCTGAGAGCATTTTATGATTCTCAAAGGCAGGTCTATAGAAGCAGTCTTAAAGAATGTGACTCAGAAAAAGTCCTGCACATAAACAATGCTATTTCATAACTGTTTGTAACCGGTGAGGGACAAACTAATAAAATGGTAGCTTTAAAACTACAATTGTAGCATTGTAGACTGAGCATATCCAGGAACTGGGATGGACTTCTACACCCAAATGCAGCACAGACGAAGGGCTCAAGAGGCATTAGGACCTAGCAGACTGAGCTCAGGGGTGGACAGTGAAGGTTAGAACCCAGCTCTGGCATTTACTGTGTGATCTGCAAAAGCTATTTCACAAATTCTGCAATGACAACTAAGATCAGGAATCTTAAATACTAAGCTGTCTGGCAGATACCATGATCAAATTATTATTAATATTTTCTAATCCTACAAGTTGCATGGGAACAAGAGAGGAGGAAAATGTGGATTAATGAGAAAAACAGGACCAATTCTGGAAAAAAAATCATTTTTTAAATACTTGTAACAAAACAAAGCAACAATGCTGTATCATGGGACTTAATGAAATTGTAGCTATTATTAGCCAATAGCATTCTCACAGGAGTTGATGGGTTGTTTTATCTTTAGAAATCTGTAAACAGTTCCTATAGCAAAAAGTAGAGAGAAATGGTTTTAAGGGAAAATATGAGTACTAAGTTCTAAGTCCTACACAGTGTATATTTGTGAATAAAAATGAAGTGTTTGGAGGCAACAAGCCTGGGGTATTTGCACAATCAGAAGTTAAATCTTTATTTGCAATTTAAAATTTTCACGCACACTTAAACCTTTTCCAAAAATCTATTGACAATGAATTTGAACTGTTAGCCTCTGCTTATGATAAAACAAATCACCATCATCGAAGGTTCCTGTCTGTGGTGCTTTATTATGGTGTCCCTAGCAAATAAATGTCTGTTAACGTCCTGCTTACAGGACTTGTGCCTCAAGCATCCTTCTTTTGGATGATTGGCAACTGCCTGGATTCTTTTAAAAGACACCTGGACAACAAGCAATGGCAATTTGGAAGACAGCGGAGCTCTGGGCTTTGTTGACGGTCTAGGCATGGACTCATGTCAAACAGGAAAACTGGCAAAAGTCTGAAGAGATTCACAGTATAAAGTCATTAACCCTTATATCAATAAAGTGAGAGCATGGTGAGATTATACAAAAGTAAGAGATTACCCATGTGTAAAGTGAAATTTATGATAGCTTCTAGCTGTTCTTGATGTAAGAAGTAATGGGATTAAACCAGAGTACCCGATTCTAATACATTCTGTAATCCATGTTACAACTAGCTAGTAATTCCTCTAGATACCTCTTCCCTCTCTCTGGTTGTTCTAAATGACAAAATGCAACATCTCCAATGAAGGTGCCCTTTGTGTCTGTAGTCTGGGGACTGCCAGCTGTTACTTCTTCACTGGTCTAGGTCCTGTCTTTTGTATAGTAAATCTCTGAAGCGAGTGATAGGATTTCCTGATGGTCAGGTTTCCATTGATCATCCCTCTGCCCAGCTGTCCACCCTGTATCAATCCTGAGCATAAACATAAGTTCCCTTGTTTCTTTGGTCTTCCCACACTGTACAAAGCCTAAATGGATAAATGCCCATGCATCCTTCCCATGTTCATCTGTCTCTTCTTATAGATATCCATGCCAGCAAGGGGTGAGATGTCCTTCCTCTCTAGTATATTCGGGAGGTACACATGTTAGGAACCTTCTCTGCTTTGATCCTCTTCATCTGTGTTTTAGTAGGATGTGTGGGCCGGTAAATAGAAAATGTATCTGTCCTGTTAAAACAAGGAGCCCAAGTGGAGAGCATGGGCCAAGCACTAGACTAGAGAGTCAGGAAAGATGGCGAGCACAGTTACCTAGAGAACTGAGGACGGAGCTGGGGAACCACAAGGACCTCACAAGATAAAACCAAAGGCAGTAAAAAGATAATTTCTTAAAAGACCTTTAGCAGAGGATGAAGAGACAGGAAAGACTCATCGTGCTCAGACTGTTCCCTAAAAGGCAAGCCTGTAGGATTCCCATTTCACCGCTACTGCCAACTATTCTTTCCCCTGGGAACACAGCTTGTGTTATTAAGCATTCACTCCTCCTTACATGACACCCTTCAAGTTCCTGGACCCACATTGCCATTCTGACCACTCTGTATTTAGCAATATTCTGAGATATTGGTGCCTTTCCCCGTAAGTGCCAACTTTGACATGTGCTTATTTCTTTTTTTCAGGTTTTCTCTCTACAAATGGCGCTAGCAGAGTCCTGAGCTAGAGGTCTAACTCTGGGGATCTCAACTAATCCGGTATGGCCACTCATCCAAAACCCAAACAGAAAGGTGAAAATTGGTAAAGTACCTTTAATTGTTATGGCTGTGCCGGTTACACAAGAAGATCCTTCGGTCTGTTTTCAAACAACTGACAGAAAATCTTGAAAGTTACTATTTTCTAGTCAATTTATTTTGGGGGTTGAGTTTACTGACACGGGCCCCAAATTACATGAAATGGAGAAAATATATGTGGCAGGGAAGCTGCACCCATGAAGTCCCAACAATATGACTTTCTTTATATTTATGGTTGTGAGCCTAGCCTTTAACGGCTGAGCCATCTCTCCAGCCCAAAAATATGACTTTCTAAACCAAATTTCAGTACCAGTTGACATGCCAAAGTGGATGTGATCTGGGGAATGTCACAGGCCTGCACCCTCAGGTGATTGCTGAGACAGGGAGAATTAGTCTTCTTCAAAGATGAGCTTGCTGATAGGCTATCCAGTCCCAAGTTGTCATCCCTTGACACACATACATATGAGAAACTCTAAGTGGACTCATCAATCTGTATTTATATATACATATGTGTGCATATTATATATCTATATCATAATTAAGGAAGAGAAGGTCATGAATTTCAAAGGGAGTAGGGGAACACAGGGAGTTGGAAGGAGAAAGGAAGGGGTGAAATTATGTAAGTAGTGTACTCATGTACAAAATTCTGAAAAAAATAAATTAAAAACAATGGTATAGCTTACACCAGGAACCAGTCATATTTTCTCTTCCCTTTGTGAATTTAATTAAATATATATTATATTATAGAAAAAAATTACTAGCACTGAAGTCTCATGATTTTTGCATCTTATTTTCTTATAATTCATAGATGCATGAGTAGGGCTCAGCTGTTAATCTTGTGACGGGAAATAAAATTACATATCTACTGAGAGTTAAACTTTGAAACCAAATAGGAAAGAATCTTGGGGAAAGTGTTAAATAAAAGAGGAAACAATTTCATAGCAAAATTCTCGGAAAAGATGTTTGGCTACTGTCAATCGGTGATGGCTAGCCCTCACTGTTCACTTATCTATGCTCATATAATATTCATCTAACTGAGCTCACCATGCAGAGATTTGCTTTTTAAAGGTAATAATGTATAAGAAGAATGAATTTCATAAATGCCCTGATTTTTGACTCTCTCTCATTTTTGCAATTATGAAAGTTTCGATAATTGCTTCCATGTTGCAAAATATTCTTCCAGAAAAATCCTGATCCGTGTTCCCAGACCATGGTCAATCTTATCCAGCTTAGAATGAACTTTTGTTTCATCCTTTTGAGGCAAAAGCTGTATTTTGCATGATGGGCTTATCTTTATTTTCTGTTTATTAATGTTCAGTTTTACTATGTTTTGATGGTAATAATTAATCACATTAACACAGATGACTTCAACCAAGATATATGTTCACCCTGCCATGTGGCTATAAAATAGTCTATGGTTAGTAAAATAATAAATTATTAATAAATTATACCACCAAAATACATAATGAAATATTAAAATGTAAAGCATAAAAGTTATATGCCCTATGGAGTAATGCCACTCTTCCTTTCCTTGCTTAGAAATGTTGCCCTTTTTCATACAGACAGCATGAATATATAAAAGATCTTCAGAGAAATCTGTAAACCCCAAAGGAGTGCTTTCAGAATTAGGGCTCAAACACCATCTAGAACTAAAACACAGAAAAGGGCTGGGGGGGGCATATATGATGCAGTTGATGGGGTGGTGACCCGGAGAAGTGTGATGAGAACAGTACTGAAGACAGCTAAATCCAGGGTTTCCACTTTGGTAAGGATGTCTCGGGATTGCAGCCATCCTGCTCCTGATGGATAGAGGAGATGACCTACAGGTTTCTTTCATGGATGTTCATCTCCAGTATGGAGCAGGCTTCTCTGTTTGGAGAGTTTCTCCTGTACGTACAAGTCTTACAATAATAAGTTTATGTTTTAGGGGCTGGCATCTCTGTCCTCTTGTACCAGGATCCTCTTCTAAAAATAACAACAACAACAACAACAGTAACGGAAGGGACTGGGGAGATGGCCATAACATAACCAGAAGGACCCAAGTTTGGGTCCCCAGAACACACATTAAAAAGCCAGATGCTGCTTCCGTGAGTCAGCACAGGGGGAGCAAGGTAGAGACAGTCTGATCCCAGAAGCTCATTGGCCATCCAGTCTAAGCTAACCAATGACCTTTAATTTCAGTGAGAGACTTTGTTTCAAATACTAAAGTTGGGGAAAGCCAACCAATGTTAGACTTGGGCCTCCACGCCCACATGCACACCTGTGCGCACACCTACACAGGTATATACATGACACACAACACCGCACATGAAAGTAAAATAAGAGAAATGTGAACCACTTTTTACAGAGCGTGCTTCCGGAAGTGTTCAGAGAGCTATTGAACGGCAAAGCCAAAAAAAAGTTTAGCACAGTGGTTCTCAACCTTCCTAACACTGCGACCCTTTAATACAGTTCCTCATGTTGAGGTGACCCCGGCCACAAAATCATTTCCATTGCTACTTCATAACTGTAATTTTGCTACTGTTATGAACTGTAGTGTAAATATCTGTGCTTTCTAATCCTCTTAGGTGACTCTTGTGAAAGTGTTGTTAGACCCCGCTCCCACAAGGGGTTGCAACCCACAGATTGAGAAACACTGTGGAATTCAGCAGACTATATACGTGGCTAGGACTACATTTGTGTGGTCCTTGTCTCAAGTAATCACAGCTTTGTTAGAGAAAAAAAAATCAATGGACCAATCCATAGAGGTTGTTTTGTGGGGATTTTCAAAATCTTGTTTACACAACAAATCACGTTTCTCTAGCACCTTTAAGGGAAGGAGGAGGAGGAAGCATTTTTACTTATCCTAAACTTATTTCTCCTGCACCCTAAGACATTCTGCAAAAGCATCAGCTGCAGGCTGAGAGTTGATGACTCGGTCATTACAGTGGAATGGACGGGGACTCTGAAGTGAGCCCCAGGCTGTGACTTCAGGAAATTGCTTACCGCTTCCAACTCCTGATGTCTTCCTCTGTAAAATGGCAATAATAGCTGCTGAGTTCCTAGAGCTGGAATATGATTACATCACAGCGCTGGCCTTGCCCTCACACTCAGTTCTCATTTCCTTTTCCTTCCAGCATTATTTTTGGTTCCATTCTGCTGCCTTCATTTTCCTTAGTCCCTCGAATTCTCTAACTAAAGAACTTAATAGTCCAAGTCCGTCTTCATTTCGCAGCCCCTGGAGGCACAGCAGTGAGTTCAAGAGATAATTGTCATCACTTGTCAACAATATTGTAAGTGTCTTTAGATGGAGGAATCAGTCTTGACCCTAGGGTGCCTGATAATCGCCACTAAGTTTGACTTCTTGTGTTTTTTAATACATTATTAAATACAGCTGTGGGAGCTCTTACTTACAAACCCTCCGTTCAGAGGGTCAGACGTGAGGATCACAAGTTCAAGGCCAACCTAGGATAGAAGTAAGGAAATAAGGATTTGTTGTTACCAATTTTGCTTGTGGCTGAGACAACGCTTGTGTGCATTCAAATGCAGGCAGTGACCAGGATTTTGTGGATGTCACCTCTCTTACATACGGGAAAACATGTGGTAGAGAAGCTGCTGACAGTTGAGAAGCCTACCCCCGTAGAACAGCTGAGAAACTGAGGCCTCTCCACAGCCAAAGTTGTTATTTCCTAAGCATCCTTTTCTTCTCTCTCTCAGTCAAACATATAATGCTTCACTGCATTCCGCTGTCTCTTGAAATATTTAGTCACATTAATGTTCCCTTTTGCAAAAGGACTTCTGTCCTCTGCACCCATGGAAATTACACTGTGTACCCCTTGAAGTAAAAACAGTGCCAAAGGAACTCATTAATGGTACTTAAATTTGTCTGGGCAACTGGTTGGATTTCCTATCCTGGCTTTTAAGCTGTTTTATCTGTGACTAAAATTTCTCTGAAACGCATTCACTAATTAAAGAATACTTTGAGGGCCAGCTAGGGACTCAATTCTAGATGGGCTCGATTTTAGATAGGAGTTACATGGAAATGAATTTGAGACATTGTGGTATTATAGGTTTTCTCTCTAGTCATCAGAGGCTGATGGAAATAACTCAATATGAAAATAAACATCTTCAAAGTTTGAAATTATATATAGAGAGATAGATATAGAGATAAAGAAAAAGATAGATACAGATAGATAGATAGATAGACAGACAGATAGATGGCTGATAGATATAAACAGACAGCTAGATAGGCAGATAGACAGACAGACAGATATATAGTCACTGAGTCTAATGAAAGAAGCAAAGATGAGATGAGGATTGGGGAGGAAAAAGAGTAGGAAACTTCAGGGCCTCTACTCTTCCTTCAAACAAAGCCACTGTGGGGTACTGGATAGAGATAAAGATACAGGAGATGTGGATCCGATGCTCCAAACCTGGAGAGATCACCAGAGAGAGGAGAAATTGTGGGACTCCCTTGGCTCCACTCTATTTCATGAATAAAAAGAATATGGGGTTGTGGTGTCTTCAGGTAGTTTTAGACATTTCTACCAAGCATTATACCAAGATAGTTCACCAAGATGTGGAAATGCAAAGAGTCATGATTATAGAAAAATCAACAGGAGGTCAAAAAGTCCTTGTGGACTTGAGGCTTAGAGCTTGTCCTTGAGAAAAGCACTTTGGCTGCTTAGAATCGTAATTTCAACCCCACAGTCACATGATGGGAATAATGCCGATGTCAGTTTAGAACACCAGAGTCACGCCTACATTTATGCTGAACACTGGATTGAAATGGGAAAAGACTAAACAATTAAAGGAACTAAAACTCACAGTAACCTAATTAGCCTTCAACGCATACAAAATGTAAACAAAATTGGCTTCCAAAATGCCGTTCCCTGCACACCCTTTATTGCCTTTACAGAGAAAAGATCTCTCCAGCAGCCTTTGGTTTTGCACAAAGCCATTAACAAGTGCAATGAGTGTTTGTGCACCCCCACATTCCCACCCAGAAAATCAGCATTTCTGTGCATT